TGCAAATATGATACTTTTGTCGACGTAGGCACTTTAGTGGATGGCGGCGCACATCCGCATAGGTCGTGGGTATGTCAGTGCGACGACTGCTTGAGCGCTGTCAGACGAGCTAACCTCCCCCAACGATAACATCATTTTACAATCACTGCGGCCCAAGATTTCGACTTAGCTGAAGTCAAATTGATTGCCGAGCTGAACATCGTGGGCTGCTCTCTGTGAATTTGCATCTGATCTCAACACTAGCAACCACTGTTTGTACATGCAAAGTTCAGCCAGTTTGTTCAAGTTGGTTGAACTTTTGCAAAATACATCCTGGCTGGGAGATGATTGATTGGTACCTGTGCTGCTAGTATGATATTCTCTTACCCGAAAATATAGTACTAACTGTCCGTCGGCAGCTGCGCGGTTGTCCACTGTGGGTGATAGTCTTCGGTCCAGATATCCATACATCACATTTCGGTGTCGACTATAGACCCTAGAGTATGCTGCTCTTCTCCGAATTCGCAGTTAATTTCCGAGGAAATTAAAAGGCAAAAATGTCTAAATTGGAGTATCTACCAGAAAACAGACGGGGAATGCTGGTGGACTCGCTGATGAGCCGAATTCCTTGCAGCTGTGCCTTGCAGGGGCAGAATTTCGGTGAAACACGCGTTTATGGGCTTTTAGCTGATACTTGTGCTGCTAGTGTGGTATCCTCTTACCCCAAGATGATAGACTAATTATTAGGTCGGTGATTGGGTCTTCTAGTCGGCAAAGTAGTGAAATGGATTTTTGGCAACGAAAAGGTAAAGGACCAAAGCTGCATGTCGGTATACTGTGCAGCGTGTCATACGGGAGTGGTGGTAATAGGGGGGAGGGTTTATGGGCGGAGCATCACGTCGGAGAGTAGGCTGATGGAATGCAGTCGGTCGGTTGCAAGTAAAGGGACAAATGTACACATATGCGGTATCTAGCTGGATATTCAATGACATTCCACGTCGAAAGAATGCCTGACCATCGAACGACTGAGCACATCCCCTGACAGAAATTTCCGTTAGTTCTCAGTGCATGCTAAGTTGATCTCTGTTTTCTGCTTCTCCATCTTTGGGCACATCTGCCAGTAATCAGTACTCATCACTCGACTGGAGTTAGCAGGTGCACAAACCAGCACACGATCTACAGTCTACTGACAGTTGATCGGGTTCCTTCATCCTACCGATGCCGGATTTTGAGTAATTTAAATGCTGAGTAGCCGCAGAAGTCTAGCCAAGGTTTCTGCTACCTACAGTAGGTGGACTAACTCACGAAATGTCAACCGGAATTCCGAAATGCGTTTTCGTTTTGAAAAGATTAAAACAGTAGGGTTGCTAAACTAGTCAGCCTGCAACATAATTATATAATATTTTAGTTACCTCAGGATGCCCGCTTTTGAACGAATTTCCTTCCGGCAGCATGCCAAAACTACACTCTGCAAAAAACGAGTACTTAGGTTGCACGAAAATTCTCATTGATTTTTGATGTCCCCCAATGTCCAATTTTATTTCATGAAAAACATTCATATAAATATTCATTCTTTTACTCATTCGGGAATTGGAAAAGTTTTGAAAACCGTATTATACCCTACCTTTGAGTATAAAATTGGAAGAAGACGTAATTGTCTACCGAACGAGCAAATGAATGGATATTTTTGTACATGACTTCCACGAAATATAATTGGACTTTTACGGACATCGAAAATCAATGAGAAAAATTCATGCCAATTAAGTAGTCATTTTTCACAGAGTGTAGTTTTTGCATGCAGCCGGAAGGGAGTTTATTCGAAAGATGGAACCCTGCGATAACTGAGATAGTATAGAATTATGCTGCAGACTGACTATTTCTACAACCCCACTGTTTTAATCTTTTCGAAACGAAAACGCATTTCGAATTTCGGTTGACATTTCATGAGTTAGCGCACATACTGCACCTGCATACTGGATGTCTCGCCACCATTTGCATTGGTTAGCACTCTCATCTCTCTCCGGCCAGCATCGCCGACTCCTCCCAAAAGTGTCCTTGTAAGTACTCAGTTGTATACTGATACTAAGCTGGATCCATCAGGCCCCCTAGGAGGGTTTATACTCACTAAAGCGAACGTTTACAGGTCCATTTCTTAGGCTGTGACCGACCGAGATCAGACTGTTTATTGTGCAGATCATTGGATGCACTTGCAACCAATTGTCCAGCATTCAGTGCTAAGCGGACTGTGCCAAAGAGGAAGAGACGATTATCCATTTCGTCCTCCTTTGCGAAGCGTATGTCAGGGAATCTGAATTAAACTGTGTCCCGAATGTATCCCGTTTTACTCTACTAGATGATAGGGAGGCGCCATCCGCGCAATGCGGCCAAAATGCCAAACATACGTTTCTAGAGATCTCGGACAATGACTCCCGCAATTAGCCTAGAGGTTGGTGGAGTAATGAGTCTTTGGCCGGCCGTTACTGCCAGCGTGACGTTTTTACAGTGGACGGTTTGTTGTATTCATCATAAGCACTCGCAGAAGTGACATCACATGACACCATGTTCCCACCCGCCTCAACCGTATTACCTCCGACTGGGCTAAAGAACTGTTCGACCGGATTGCCCCTATAGATAGATCTGAAGTATGGGATTTTGCCCTCTTGGAGCAGTCAGTTCAGATGACCCTGTGTAGGCGCGTTGGAGGGGAAGGAGCAGCATGTGATGATGGCCGCACGGATCTTCATCGATGACACGCATTGTGTGTATTAGATTCGAATTTTGGGAGATAATATGGCTTCGTTTCGAGAATATGCTCTATTTTAAGTGGATCTGCGTTTGCTATAGGATAGAGGGGAATACCATTTTCGGTTTATTAAGCGAGCAAATTTGACTTTTTGTCCACTTACATCAAGGTCGGTAACTGTATCTCATTGAGGATAAGGAGGTGGAGGAGGAAAACGACGATTGATGCTTGATTTCGGAGGAGGAGATGAAATTATTTGGCTATTCGGAATCGTGCTGGAGTTCATCTCAGACACTGAAAGAGTCGTCTAGCCTACTGTCAATTTATGAAGAGTTGGTCCAAACCATTGATTGGTCAGCCGGCTTTGAACAGTCTGATCTGTATGTATGACCTACATCTGATAATTCGATATTTTAATGACCGGCCCTTGTAGCTCGTTGATTATTTAACAGCTATTGCGGACCTGTTAACTCGTCTTAAATGTCAAATAAGTACACATTGTTTCTCGAGGGTTAACCGTCGGCCTCTTGTTCTCCCATCCTCCTCCTCCTCCTCCTCCTCCTCCTCATCATCATCATCATCATCATCATTATCATCAGCATACCTCCATTACTACCAGCGCCCCCCGGTAAGCGCCAACACTGGCGTCTTACAACAAAAGGTGCGTCAACGTACTTCTGGAAATTTCTCTAGAGGCTTGATGGAGTTACTCCATAACGCATGCACCAGTGTATGTTAAGTATTAGTACAGGGGACCGTCAAGTATCATTCCGCTCTCCAAATGTATCAGCGTTATCGCATGTACATCAGGTAGGTTATTTTGTCAAGACTTGCGTCATATAGGTGTGCACCGGTGTCATCGCTTGGTCCCTCACAGCACAGATGACTGTCACGCGATACTCTGCGATCAACGCACGCCGTCAATTGTACCACTGATCTTATACGGACAAATCTAATTATCCATGTGAGTAAACCCAATGACGCTATGATAGAAGACCGCAGGGACTGATAGAATCTAGTCTGCAGGCTTTGAATGCTTTGTCATTGTATTCATAGTCAGCAAAAATGAGAGCGTTGTTGAAAAAGTCCAATATAAGGGAATGGTAAGATCTTCTGGCCCACCGTAGATTGAGCCGGGAGCACTGTAGTTTCCTCATTCTTAAATCAGCCAACACCCGAGAAGGCATTGGGTTGATCGGTGGATTAGCTATCATGCCGGGAGTTGGAGGACCAGTTTTAGTGGTCAGGAAGCGTTCAAAGTATACAAATCAGGCTGAGTTGCCCGTTTTTGGATGCGTATAATTCAAGTTGCCTGAAAAAACTATGATCGAAAAAGTGACTAATTAAGTATCATGACCGTATTCGCCGCCTTTTGATCAGCACATACGTCCAAACTTACAATAGAAAAAGTACCAGTGCTCTTTAGGAATGCTAAAGAAAACTGCCGGAAGTGTTAATGTTCCCTTGGCTTTCGATTTTCGACAATGACGTTCCATGTTGATGAAAGTCTTAAATATGACCCAGACGAGCATCTACATAAAAAAGCACCTAAGCATTCGTCGCTCTCGTAAATGCTTACTGAAAGTATTTTATTGTGAAGGCTTTGAAAATTCATGAGACGAAATGTATTTTTACACTCTGACCAGCTGAGCTATAATGGTTCGACTGGGAGCCGTGAGTTAATTAACATTGCTATCAAGTTACTCCCCCAGCCTACCGCCATTTATGGTATGGCAAACGTTGGCTGCACTTAAGTCCTGGCCTTGCTATAGTGGGTTCGAATCCCACTCAACCCGCCGAGTTTTCCACAATTGAATCAAACGAAGTCATCGAGCTAACTGCCCAAGTAGGACATTCTAAGCAATCAATCAGGAAATACCCAGACGACTACCGGATACGCTTAACTAAAAGTGTTTTGGGCAAATTTGAACGAGTAATTTGGTCAGTTTGATTTTGATTTTCTTCCGCAACTGAGTTTTTGCGAATTAATGGAGAACGGCCGCCGCCGTTCAAAACTTCTGGTTGTCGAGACAATTTTACAAGTGATCTCTGCTTCTTTGTATTGAAGTCACCGCGTCATAACAGAAAATCAGAGAAAATCCCTAGGGTGATTATCATCTTGCTGTGACGTGTATCCAACGTCACTGTGAAGACGCTGTTCTCATCCAAACCCGCCTGAGCGTCGGAGTTCATTTATGAGCACGTCATCGGCGTTGCTTTCTCTCTCTCTCTCTCTCTCTCGCTCTCTCCATTTTACATAGACAAATTAATTTAGTTTATGTCCTTAAGCCAAATAGATAAGCCGATTTTGGGGAAGGAAGTGCACCCATTTTACTATTACAACAACAACAACTACTACTACTACAACAACAACAACTACAACAACAACAACAACAACAACAACTACTACTACTACTACAACAACAACAACTACTACTACTACTACAACTACGACAACAACAACAACAACAACAACTACTACTACTACTACTACAACTACTACAACAACAACAACAACAACTACTACTACTACTACTACTACTACTACTATCCCCACCACCACCACCACCACCACCACCACCACCACCACCACCACCACCACCACCACCACCACCACCACCACTACTGCTACTACTACTACTACTACTACTACTGCTACCACCATCGCTGTTACTAATAATATTAGTAAAAGGGTTGTCTTTTGGCCGGACTTCGAAGAAGCTTTGCTTCAAGTATGCTTGTGGTCCAGCAGTTTGAGGTTAACTGGTGCTCATTTGATGTATCTGGATTCACTTCAACCTAAGCTGGTTGTTGCGGGTTCAAGTGGACGCCGAGGGCTCAAATCAACCTCAAAAGATGCAATGGTTAAACGTATTGTTGCATAAAAACCTTCGCCAGCCCTTCACACGGGTAGACGAACAGAGCAAATCATTGACAGGCCTTCACTATACTTAGGCGTTTAAACCAGTGCTTGTCAAAAGATCAGCGGAGCGAAAGATAAGTTTTCAAACTACGAAATATTTCTGGTGAGGAGAGTTACGCCTTCCCAACCTAGGACAACAGCACGACTGGATGTGAGTATCAAATAAGCGCGACAAAATGAATGTTCGATTTGATCGGTCCTTGAAAATCCACCCCTCTTCAGTCACCGTCTGTTTAATGACGGTAATTTTGATCGTCATCAGCTTAAACTATGTTTGAGCCATAAAAGAAAAAACACATAGGATCCCTAATTTTTTCATCGACACACTACGCTTTTCTCTCGATTGGTAAAATGCAACGATCCTTCGCCTACGTTTGCTTCCGTAATCCAAATCGACAGTCTAACCAACCGAAAATATAGGATTTGGCGCACAAAGGTAGCTGAATAATTATATCACCCATGTAAAATTAAACATTTTCTCCTCAGAGGCCTTGCAATAAAAATTCTTCTCCAAACTTCATTTTTCTATAGACATTTGTTGGCAAAAAGAAGGAATAAAGAAGAATACAAAAGCCACATACTGAAAACGGTCAGAAAAGCAGTTCGGATTTTGTGCCTGGAGTTTATGGGTAGCTGTTCGAGAGAAAGTTGATGCGAATTCTCATGCAGAGAATTTCAGCGGTCAGTATAAGGGGGCGCCATTGCTGCAACAATGACTTGGATGCCAGTTGACTAGAATAGAGCAGATGTACCCATCGTGCAGAATTAGAAGATGGATAATAGGATGATTGCAAGAAATTGCAAACTAGTGGTGCCGAGGTAATCCGAATGCCATGCATAGACAAACAGGCAAGAAGATGTGTCCTTTCGTCTAGGAAAGTGCCGATGATTGTCTAAAGACTGGGTAAGCAATGTAAACTCCAAGAGAGATTGGAGAAGTCCGTAGCACCGAAATATTGCGAAGAAGCGGCTTTTGTTTAAGGAATGCAAAAGGGTCACGCAAGAAAGTTTGCTCGTCGCGAATGAGCCTCTCGGAGTCAGCAAAGCACCGGCGACTTGCGCGTGAATTTGTTTACAATGAGGTATGCTTGTGTAGCATCCACCGCTCCTTCCGCTCGCTCATTCATCCCCGTTGCAGTGGGAAGATAATGCTCAGACGGTCGGAGGTGGGTTCGGTGCAGTGGCTGGAAAAGCTGGACAGTTACAGTAGATGTGCTAAGTCATGAAATGTCTACCAGATTTTCGAAATGCGTTCTCGTTTCGAAAAGATCAGTTAAGTAGTGTTGTAAAAGTAATCATGATGCAGCATAAAGCTATAATGACCAAGTTACCTCAGGGTGTCGGCTTTCGAAAGAACTTATTTTCGGCTGCATGCAAGATCTATACTCTGCAAAAAAGGACTACTAAATAAGCATGCAATTTTCTCATTGATTTTCGATGCCCTTGAAAATTCACTTATATTTCATGGAAAACAGGCATAAAAATATTTATTATTTCACTTATTCGGTAGAAAATCACGTCTTCTTCCAATTTCATACCAAAAGAGGAGTATAATTTGGTTTTAAAGAAAGTTTCTAATTCCCGAATAATTTTGAACCCGACCCGCTGTTACACTTGCATTCAGGGTTTCAAAACTACAAGGTGTGTATTTTCCGTGTACGGAAAACCATGCATTTTTCTACCGTGTTAAGAGGAGACCATGTGAGGTTTATAAAAGTAAGCAGTGGATTTGAGCAATATTGTTAACTTTACAAGCCACATTCGTAAATGCAGATACATGACGTCTCATGAACGGCCATTTACCGGTATTAAAAAATCTCACAATTAGAAACTTTCTTTAAAACCAAATTATACTCCTCTTTTGGTATGAAATTGGAAGAAGACGTGATTTTCTACCGAATCAGTAAAAGAATGAATATTTTTATGCATGTTTTCCATGAAATATAATTGAATTTTCAAGAACATCGAAAATCGATGAGAAAATTGCATGTTAATTTAGTAGTCATTTTTTGCAGAGTATAGATCTTGCATGCAGCCGAAAATAAGTTCTTTCGAAAGCCGACACCCGAGGTAACTGGATCATCATAGATTTATGCTGCATCATGATTAGTTTTACAGCAATACTTAATTAATCTTTTCGAAACGAGAATGCATTTCGAAAATTTGGTCGACATTTCATGAGTTAGCACATCTACTGTAGTCTACGCGCGTCGCACACACGATCTGGTTCCCACAACATGTGCCAGGCTTTCTATGAGAACACCATACAGGTCGCACTGACCAGGAAATATTGCAGCCTGATTCTCAGACCTTTAGTCAATCAAAAAACCCCCGTGAGGACTGAATTATCCTGACAGTTGAAAGCCTTCCAAGCCACGACTCGTAGCACGTTGTGCTAGATCCAAGCTCGTCATATTTACTATTAGTGAAAAATGAGTTGGTTTGCAGTGCGGATGATGCATTCCGCGCCGAATGATTGTTAAGGGATCGGACCTAGAGGGTACAACACTCTATAAAGGATCTTGATCTTGGAGCAAAAGACCACCTTCAGGTAGTCACACTTAGACAGCTAAAACAACCCATGGGGGTTAGGAGATGGCAACCAGCAGTAACATGGGGGTGGGCGGGCGTAGTGTGAGGTCTTCAACAGAGTACATCTACGGCGTGGCCGGTTTTAGGGGCAAGCACACTGCAGTTCGACCGTCGTACCCAACAATGTCCATCGAGCGCTCTACAGCAAAGTGACTTGAGCGTGAATTATTTTATAGTAGGCGCAGACTTGCGCAGCATCTATCGCGCTCCCTCCTCCTCCTCCTCCTCCCCACATGAACCAGGTGTCACCAGGACAAAACATGAACCTACTCTATGTAACCACCCGCCTGTAACGCTCCATTCAGTTCTCCTGCAGCATACGCGCGACTCACTTTGCAAGTTCCCGCATGGCGGTCGAAACGTCGCATGCCAGTACGCGCATATCTCGCTTAGATGGGAAGCATGTCCGATTGGAGCAGTGCGGTTCATGGAGGGGGCATCAGGACGTGTGGGGCACGCGTAGGCGGGTCGTTTATCAGTACCAGTCACTGCGTCCAATCCAGTCACCAGTTGTTCAGCAGTCTTGGATGCTCGACTGGTGCAGGCTGGGGGGGGGGGGGGGGGAGATTGAAGGTTACAGTGGGGAATCCATTCGTACGGCAAATTTGACCATTCTTCACATGGGCCTCGGGTTCCGCTACAGTCCTCTGCTCCGACTGCGTACCCTGTAGTTCTGCGGCGGTGCAAGAACAACATACTGTGGCTACAGCAGTCCCTGTACGTCCACTGTTCTAATCTCCTTTTCTGTTTGCTTACTGACTTGGGCGAGGCTACGAACTCAGCGTCTGAGTTTACGCCTTCCTGGAATTTCGGCCGTTTAAAGGCTTGAGAGCGGACTGTGAGACTAGGTGGTTATTGGCGGCGGCGTAATCGACTTTGGCTGTGGGAGAGCATTTCCAGTGGTTGGTTTAAAGGCTGCCTCCCACACCAACTTAAGTTTTTTTTGTCGTTGGGGCTGTTACGACAGTCTGAATAAGTAAACTCATTGGCAGAATTTCTCCTCCCACAGTAGGTGAGCTAACTCATGAAATTGCAACCAAAATTCCGAAATGCGTTTTCGTTTCAAAAATATTAATTAAGTAGAGATGTAAAACTAGTCAGTCTGCAGCACAATTCTATGATATTTAAGTTACATCAGGATGCCGGCTTTCGAATGAACCTCCTTCCGGCTGCATGCAAAAATTACACTCTGTAAATCATAACTACTTATGTAGCATGAATTTTCTCATTGATTTCCAATGCCCCTAAATGCCCAATTATACTTCTTGAGAAAAATGCATAAACATATTCATTATTTTACTCGTTCTGTAGATAAATACGTCTTCTTCTATTTTTATGCTCGAAGGAAGGACATAAGTCGGTTTTAGAAAAGTTTCTAATTGTGAGGCTTTTTAATGCCGTTAAATGGCAGTTCATTAATCGTAATGTCTTTAGCATTTACCAATGTGGCTTGTAAAGTTAACAATATGCTTCAAATCCACTGTTTAATTTTATGAACCCTATATAGTCCCCCTTTATTACCGTAGAGAAATGTATGGTTTTCCGTTCGCGGAAAATATACGACTTGTAGTTTGGAAACCGTTAATCCACATGTAACGATAGAGCGGGTTTAAAATTATTGGGGAATTAAAAAAAAATTGAAACCCAATTTATGCCCTTTCTTCGAGTATAAGATTAGAAGAAAGCTTAATTTTCAACCGAAGGAGCAAAAAATGCATATTTTTATGCATATTTTTCATGAAATATAATTGGACATTTAGGGGCAGTGGAAGTCAATGAAAAAATTCATGCTACATAAGCTGTTATGATTTGCAGAGTGTAGTTTTTGCATGCAGCCGGAAGGAAGTTCATTCGAAAGCCGGCATCCTGGGGTGACTGAAATATTATAGAATTATGTTGCAGACTGACTAGTTTTACATATCTACTTAATTAATATTTTCGAAATGAAAACGCATTTCGGAATTTTGTTTGACATTTCATGAAATAGCCCACCTTCTGTATGTGACGTTCCTTCCGGGTGGATATTCGGACATCCCAACTTCAATCCCTTCCACTGCTTGTGAATGACAAAATCAACAAAAGTCCGCGGAAAGCTGAGTAATAGTTTTGCTGATCCCCAGCTTGTGCTTGTTATTTTGGAAATATTGGGTGTTTCAACTGGTCGCATGACTCACTCTCTACCTCCTCCAGTAACGAAGGAACATTTTGTAGCTAATGCTCTCCTACGACTGCGCATGTGATGAAATTCATTTCCTGTTTTTTGGTTTTCCCCTGGATAACTCTATTAGCCCATGAATCAAGTTCATCAGAACTAGAACAATTGTATTATTTCCTTTCAGGGTGGCGAAAGATTGACAACCTAATATTAAATGTCAGGCGTTGCCATTATAAGTCTGAGGTTGAGCGCCTGGTTCGAATGGTACATGGCACTAATTCAAATAAAACATCATTCATTTCGAAAAGTTGACAGCTGAGATTACTCAAGGAAAGGGGGCTCAGTCCTGCAATTTTTTGGATGCGTTAGATCCCTGTCAATCAGCGTCTATCGTAAATTGTTTAAATGAAATTATAGACAGCGACAATGATATTTTCCGTCTTACTTGCTACCTATCGTGTTTTGTGCTCTGGCAGCACCATCTCAACCAAGCGGCACGGCTGAATTCATAATTGGGGACCAGCTGCTAATGTCATTTAATTCTGCCTCTGCTACTTACAACACTTATGCAAGAACTACGTGTTGGGGACCTTTACGGTTGTTCTTTCCCCTGTAGTCTTGTCATATAAAAACAACATTTTCCAGGAGCTGCCTAAGCAGACTAATTTTAAACAGGAAATGAGGAGTTTCTCGTTTAATAAAAATGAATGTATGATTCCCAAATATAATAAAATGAAAATAAAAAGCGTTCACTGGTAGAGTTATATTAAGAATATGGCATTTAGAGTAGCTAATTCCGTTACCTGTTAAGATACGTGTGTTTTGATAGGTCGGGGTGAATTTTGGAGGGCACAAGCATGCAGTTAGATGGCTGCAGGGGGGTGACCGTCGAAGGACGATTAGTCAATGGTCGCATCGACCTGCCTGGGGTGCACGGGACCTTGCGCTACCATCTGATTAAATACACAACCTAAGGGGTAGTTAGAGAGAAAATGTGTCTTTCGTTTCTTAAAAGTGTCTTCTTAGAAAGCTAGGATAGTGTTACGCCAACTACGAGGAAAAAATGCCTGTTTGGTCCACCAGTCTGAATAACGGGCAGTGTCGAATATTTAACCCGCATGCCTTACAGCGTGATCTGTGCCTATGGCGCAGTAATCTGAATAACAAAGTCATCTACTTGAAACGTCAAACGAAAAGCACATCTCTCTCGGCGCAGGCCTCCCCTGCTTATAAAATACTTACGAATGGTAGTGCGTACCAGTGCACGAATTGAGAATATTCATAGTTTAGTATTCAGCAGTGCGCAGAAAACAGTATCTAATATAGTCTACTAGTTTACTGCCAGGGTTAAAAAGCCAGCCGAAATGAATCCCTATTTTGGAAAAAAAGAGAAGGCAACAAAACTTCATGATGTCTCTCGCCTGCACCGAAAATATAAGGTACGGATCGAGAGAGGGACTCTAGGTATCTATGGCTCATAAAAAATAAATATTATACTTATTTAAATGGGTTTTAGTCCGACACGATTACTTCGCTTTAGCGGTTCATTGCTCAAGGATGGGTCTTCTGCTGTAGACGTCCTGGTACGTTATCTACAATGGCCTCAGCTCAGAGAGTTGAGAAGCGGTCGTTGTAAGTACTTAATGTGGTCAGATGTGGTTATGTAGCCCCACCTGAAGTAAACAAACCTCAGCCACCTAAAATACGGGACCGGTGGTAATAGGGGTTTTTACAGGTGGGGCCTGGGGACGTACAGGTGACGAGGTCAAGTAATTATATGCGAAATAAAGGCTATGGGGAATGCGCGGCTATACTTCGAGTGGTTAAGAAATAGTTGCTCTAACCTCTCACCCTTACCCTAACCCCCAAGCCCAACAGTCTTGTGTCCATCAGGTGGGGCTACGTAACGGCATCTTATCGTAAAGGATTATTTTTTAAATGTCCTGCTTAATTTCGGTTGCCAGATGTTGATGCATTAAAACCTTCCCGCCCGAAAATCGAATTTAACAATTATCTATACTTATTTTGCCATTCCTCTATGCATACATAGACGCCGCCTGTAAAACCCCTATTACCAATTTTCCCGTAATACAGGCACCTTTGGCTGGTTGTGTGTGTGTGTGTGTTTGGAGTCCCTCACGCGATCGTTGCCAAATTTAAAAGTCTTGACAATGCAAAACAGTATATTTTAAAAATCAAGAAATAAAAATTTGACTTTAGAGATATCACAATAGCCTGGGGATACAGATTCGGGGAAGTTTGTTGTTGTTTTTGGTACAGTGTCGGCCTCATCCTCCTGTTCTCGGGGAAAAGCTGAAAGTTTGTGTCGGTGATGCGGTTTTCTGTCTAGTAGAAGTGTCCGTTAGGTCGTGACACCGCTGAGTAATGCCGAACTGGCATCGGACTCGGACAGTGCCTGGGCAGCTCTTGACGCAGAATCTCACGGATCTTTTCTTCCTGTTGAGCAGTAAACGGCTGAAAAAATAGGTGAGACATTTTGACTAAAAGATTCGAAGGCAACCTTAAATTCTCAAGGGACTAAAAATGAACTACTTTAGGGGCATCAGAGTCCGAACCTGCTTGCAGCTAAAGGTCTCAACTGTGCGAACGTGTGTTTCACCCTTTTGGCTCTCGTAATTCCAAAGTGAGTTTAATTTCGAAACCGATGTTCTTTTTTTGCATATTATTTGAAAAATTGCTGTCTCTTGGTAAGATCCACTTTAGATGTGCTACAATGACACGGCAAGATAAAGTTGCTTGGAGATGAATGCAGGTTCTAGGGTTGCCCGAACTTTAAGCCGCCAGCCTCAGGTACCACGTACGTACAGCTGCCCTAACTACGTAGACCGATTATAATGCAATAGGATCTCCTAAGAGTTGACAACTTCGTGAGCCGCGAGCTGCTTGGCTCAGTCATCTAAGGAGTGGAGTTACATTTGCCCTCTGTATTCTGTTCTGAGACTTTGTCTAGGCAAAGTAGTTAGTCCCGCGTGGAGTTCGCGGATGGGTCACTGTTTCCGGTACCGGTGTCGATGAGCTAGCCTGCTCAATAACCGCGCACATGGGAGGAAATTGCGACACGTAAGCCATTGTTGCACCATCTGCAGATATCTGAGATGAATGAGGTGTCTGCCAATTTTGATAGGCATACAGTGACATAACAACTGTCACTGTCACCTGACGGCGGATTCGTACACAGGTGTCAGAGATAAACACTCTTAGGCCTCAGGTCTCCGCAGCCTGAAGTTGACGTGCGATTGACTGCAAGCGGCAAATTTGATGCAAATGACATCTGGAGGCTCAGCTATCTCCAAGCTTTTTAGTTTCCCTAGAAACTGATGGGTCGGATACAGGAGTACGGACCTGATGGGGGGTGTTTACACTCCCAAAACAAGAGTCAGCCAATCACTGGAGGCCACGTGCGTTTTCTCGAGCGCGCTGTCAGCATGATCCTGGCGCCTCGCCATTGGCTTCTCCCTTCGAGCCTGGTCGATCCGTTCATCCGAATTATTGATCAGCCCGTCTATAATTTACTACTCGAAGTGCATTGGGCCGGATTCAGACGAACCACAGTAGGATGTTATTAATATGCATTACTTTCCACTTAGACATGACTTGCAGCTTCCTAATACACTTTTCGCGGCTAGTCGTGTTATTCTTCTCTGCCGCGTTGGTGTTGGGGCAAGAGCCAAGTGCGCATACAATTCATGTGATTTAAAGTATCAGACCGGATCATAACAGGACCCCCTCGCGCTATATTCCAGGAGACTACCTATTCCGATGCCCACACTTTAACCCTAATCCTAACACAAATATCAGCACTCATAAACCTCACCACACAAATACTGACCTTAATCTTAACCCTTCTAACTGCGACCTTCGCTCAAATCCTTCCTTAACCCTAAAGTTCACTCCCATTATAACCCTTCTAGACGTAACCCGACGCTCCTAACTCTGATCCTAAGCCTAAAACTAGTCCTAACGCCGAACAGAACCCCCTGTAATTAAGGGCTGGAACGAGCATAATACAAGAGCGTCCATATTCTCGTCTGCGACAAATAAATGCATTTGCGTGGGGCACATTCCTCCACAGGGACCCTGTCGGGTTCGGTCGGAAAGTTTTGCTGGAATCCGATAGGATCAGTGGACTAACAGTATAATATTCACATCCAGCCAACAAGCGGCCTGAAGTAGATGAATACTGATTGGTAGGCCACGCTCAGCTGAAAGCCAGTAACGCATGATATTTTCCCGTTTAGTCTGAAATGACCAAGCGAAAACTTGAGACCTGCAAGAGTCGACTAAGTTTCCGCGTTGGATATTGGCTTGCCTGGTCGCAGCGCAAAACTAGCTTTCAGTGACTGAACAGCCTCGATCGTTAATCCGTGATCATGTAGTGAAGCGACACAATCCTATATGGAATGGGAAATCGTTCGAGACGGGGCAATGCTTAGACTTGCCGGTAATCAGATATAACCGTCAAATAAATAACCAAGGCTACACAAGCATCTAGGTGCTTCCAGAATACATAAGCATTCGTTTCGGCGAATAAGTTCTATTCAGAATATCTTGTGGTAAGATGTGGTTTGGTAGCCCCACCTGATGGACACCATATTGTTGGGGTTGGGGTTAAGGGTTGGAGTTAGAGTTTAGGATTAATGTTATTTTTAGGGGTGAGGGTTTAGGATTAGGGGTTGTAGCTAGAATTTAGGGTTAGAGGTTACTGCAACTTTATTTAAACCGTGCAAAGTACAACAGCGCATTCCCAATAGCTTTCCTCTTGCATGTAGCTACCTGACCTCGCCGCCTGTGCATTCCTCGCCTCCACCGGTAAAAAGCCCTATCACAACCGGTCCCGTAGAAGAAGGGACTGGGGTTTGCTTACTCCAGGTGGGGTTACATAACCACATGCAACTTATTTTTTTATCTTTTTAAGGTTATTGACAAGAGGTTTTAGTTGTGACTATGTTCTATATAATTTTTACCCAACTAGCTGCCTGAATGTCGAACTAAGATCTTTATTTCTCTGGCAAGCAACATTGAAGGAATTCATGGAGACACAAAGATGGATCATGTTTGTAATTTGCGATATTTTCTTTTTCTTACCTTGGACCGATGACAACACCTCTTGATATATACATGTGAAAGCGGAGTAACATTACCAACAAAGGCAGGGGGTCCGAAATGGCCATTTCTGGCTTGCTGGTCGTCGTCAGCCAGCCATACCCAACCCCGATGTGTGAAAAGTCCAACGCTCCTAACCACTAAGTCAAGGGCCCGATTTCCTGTTGGTTGCGATTGGGACTTCTAACCAACAGGTCCTAAGAATTGTGAGAAAGCCTGCCTGCGACCATTATGCGTTATCTCATCAGATGAATTTCATTACATCAGGAAGAGATATTGCAGAGTTAGCCTTGCTGATGTCATCCATTTTGGAAGCCTTGAAGTTGGCCGCTGCACTTTCATAGCAAAAGGTACTTGTTAAATTGCAAAAATGATAAGATTGTTGTCTGCTGTGTTTAATAATTGCGCTCAGACTATTACCATAACAGAAGTTATGTATAGTCACATTTACTTGAAATTGTGGGATTGAAAGATGCTGGTGCCGGACTTCGTAAGGAAATGTCCAAAAACGGCGATGAAGAGCTGGCATTCCGCGTTAACGCAGGGAGTTCCGAAAACGATTTCTCGAAGAGAATTTATTTACTAAAATCCCTACGACGACTCTACAGCCTCAGGTACTCAAACTGTATTTAGTAATCCTCTCAACGGCAAAAGCGACCAAACACAATTTTCCTGCATTTCTCTTACAAATCTAGCTAATAAAACGACTTTCGAGACCTTCGATTGAGAAGTCTTTAGAGTTAAGCCTTATTTAAGAAGTTCGTTTTGTGTAAAGCCTTTTCTGAACTGTAAACTCCCGAGTTTTCTAGAAAAAGGATGCACAAGACTGAGTGCTTTGACCTCTGAAGGCCAGTTTCTACCCAATAGAATCAGAAGCCGGCCAGAAGTTAAATGTCTTCATTTCAACGCCAATGAGTTCGGGATAATGGTATGGAGAAGGACCTCACTTAACTGACGGCAGATCACGTCATAGGGGCTTTTATCTCGGCATCCATTCGCCGGCCTTTGTAGAAATTACACTGCCAGTAACAATCACTTCCCATGACTTCAAACCATCACTTAAACTCCATTATTTTTAAAAATTTCCTTCCTGTTTATTTTTAATTATCGTGCTCATTTCCGTTGTAGTACGAAAGCGTACGATGAGTCTTTCAGGAGAAATCCAAACAGTTTCTGTGGTTTCCTATATTTCGTCTAGTGCGCTACCACACCCGTAAAACTCCCCTTATCGCCAATCACATATGACACGATCCACAAACGCCGTCAGTTAAATCGGGTCCTTCTCCATACTGTTCGGCTTCAGATATTTATCAAGACATCCTGTGACAATTTCAAAAATCAAAAACAGGATGGAGTGGAAACCGGAACAGTTCCACGCCGAGGCGCCTTTCTCTTCCCAACTGTTGATTTAAAATTCACTTTTTTATGAGGGTTTGAGCCCAGCACGGCAGAATTAGTTATGATACACGTAACGTTGGCAGTCGAGAAAACGTGCACAGGTCAAGTATATTTGTACTTTGAGTAGGTTTCATGCGATACTTTATCGCCTGCCTACATTCGCCCGGACACATGACGCGTTAACTTTGTAAGCAATTTGCTATTTGCCATGCCTTCGCCAGATAAACGAATGCCACTCAAAATACACGAAGAAGCTACAATAAAGTCCCGGCACAACTGTTCAGATAATTTATGTTCGAGCATAAATACGACTGAGAAGATATTGATGAGCAGATAACTGATTGAGTGGCAATATTGATGGGAACAAGATCGACTGAGATGGTTAGTTCGGACACATTTTCTGTAGTTAATCTGTTATACCCCATCCCCAGATTAGAATAAGACGACTATTTTGGTCAGCTACCGAGAACAATGTGAGACTCATCCGCAGAAATTGGACTGAGGGCGAAAGATAGGCTATGAAATTGAAAAATGACATGAGGCTACTCTAAGCTAATTAATTTGACGAATAAATACTGCATGTCTTTTTTGACTTTTCCGTACGACCCAGCAGTCAGGTGGAGACACTACTTCATACTAAGCGAGGTTAGAAACACCTAAAAGCAGAGCAAAGTCTGGTGGCAGTGTTAAAAGATTAGGGAAAGATCTGCTTTTTGGGTTTCAGTGGAATGTGAGCCGGTAATTTTCCCTAGTGGCTTTGATTGGGAGCAGAAGAACTAGTAAACGTCCCGAATGAAATTCTAAGACCAGTCGCTAAACCATGCTCCGGTAATTGGTAACGCAGGCAAAATAACACCAAAGAGGTGAAAAAACTTTGAAAATCCTCGTATTGAAGAAAACTTTTTAACGCCCCGATGCCCTCAAGATCGAACTCAACACCTACGGCTGAAAAGCCGATAGTTTAAGATCCTGCACCCCCTCCCAGCTAAGTCAGCAATAAAAGTAGTAAATTTAATGTTTACGATATAGTTGGGGTATTGCGGCTGGCGCAGCCGGTTGGAGTCGCAAGACGCCTCATCAGCTGCGACGGCAGTGGCTGGTTGGATCCGGGGACGAGGAATGGCCTTCTTCTGTGAATAAATGATGATGACGATGATGGTGATGGCGTTTAATCCAGACGTAAATTATGCAAAATCGAAGCATTATTTGCACTCTTGTGGCTTAGATAGAAAAGAAAATATGCACAGGTTCCTGCCATAATCTGAGAAGCGTTGCTAGACACAGCAGGAGGAGTTAAAAACATTCTGGGTTTCTTTTTTGACAAACTAACGCAAGTACAGAATTGGCACCAAAATGACACTCACAGAGAAGTCTGGCAGAGGATTTGCGCGGTAGGGCTTCGGTTTCACGGGCGGTGGCTCAGGTGTGCCCATAAAATCCACTCTTGTTGAATTCCCAATGACGAGCTGATTGTTCGCAAGATCCACACAGCACTGATGCTCCCGCAAGGTATTGAGGCCCAGGACGAGGTCGTGAGTGCTGTCAGACACGACCATGGGTGATATCTTCAAAAGCGTGGAAGGGAGGACTGTTAGGTAGTACCTAAACCATCCTGTGCAGAACAATATCCTATACACAACACTTGGACTTTAAATCAGCCTTAAACGGGTCTTTGTATAAGGCGCAGGAATGAGTGATTAAGGCTTGCCCTTTGACTGCAAATTTGTATTTGTCGAACCAAAATAATGTCCCTTAATTGGAAACTTTACCTGCTCAACACTCCCGACATTCACAGATGCTTTCTCTGTTCTTGACTATTTTATGGATTGTCCGGATTAATTAACTAAAGGAATTAACTGATATATATCAGGACGGTCTATAATTTTCCACATAATTTGGAGATTGTCCTCATACGGATCGTCGTACTATTTGGAGAGTCGTTTGCATAGTCGAAAGTTCTCATTTCCAAGAACGATAAGTTGAGCTTTTTTCTTTTTTATGCAAGCACCGAAACCATATCAGTGACTCGTGTCAGTTACTGCGTCCTCATCTTAATCACGCTGTTTTCTGCTGCCGGTCTTACTCTTTTTCTTCTTCTTCTTCTTCAGCTGCTGATCAAATTTCCCAGTCGTTGGGACCTTTGCCGATTAATGTTTTGCCACAGCGACACATGTGCCGCCTTCAGCTAGGCTGCTGCGTTCGAGCCGAAATACAATGAATAACCGAGCTCATGAGATGTTGGCCGTAATTCTGAAATACGTTTTCGATTCTGAGGGATTATTTGGGTGCGGATTGTAAGATTGATTATTATGTCGCATACTCCTATAGTGTTTCGGACTTGTTAGGATGTCGGCTTTTAAATGACTTCTTTTTGACCTCATGTAAAAACCGCACCCGGTAAAAAAATGACTACTTAAGTAACATGCATTTTTCACATTTATTTTATATGGTCTACTAATCTGAAATACAGTTTTTAGAAAACATGCACAAAAGTATGCTTTCTTTCACTCTTTTGATAGAGTTTCATGCCATCTTCCTATTTTATACTCAAAGAAGGAGTATAAGTAGGTTTTGAAAAACGTTTCTCAATTCCCGAATAATCTTGAGCCTGGTCAGCCGCAGCATTAGTGCTCAGCGATTTCAGTCTAAAAGATGTATGCTTTCTGCCTAAGGAAAATCATATATTCCTCTATGTCTTTAAAAATATATCCTAAAGAGTTCATGGAATTTTGCAATTGATGCAGACTACGTTGTACATCTCACGAGAAGCAGTGGTAAACAGGCAGGTACGATGCTGTATGAACGAACATTGAACGGTCGTGAAAAATCCCATAATCAGAAACTTTCCAGAACCTAATTATGCTCCTTCTTCGAGTATAAACTATGAAGATGGCATGATCGTCCATTAAAAGAGTGAACGAAAGCATACATTTATGCATATTTTCTATAAAATATATTTCTATTTATAAGACCATCGACATCCTAGCAAGTCCGAAATACTATAGTATTATGCCGCATGATAATCACTCTTATAACCGCATATAAAAATCCTTCTTAATCGAAAACGCATTCCAGATTTTCGGCCAAAATTTCATGATATCGTTCACGCACTGTGCGCCTATCATAGCACTAGCGTGTCTCGAACGGATCGTGAGTACGTCTTTGACCTGTTAGGAGACCGAGGTAAAAAAGCTAAGACGAATCCTCATACACTGCTCTTTGTGTGCCGTTAATTTTTATGCCGTCTTTTACGCTACATTTTGCACTGCCTTCTATACTAATGTGTCTGACAAAATACCTTTTGTTTGCCAAAAGGTTTGATTTAGCGACAAAACCGCACACTTTTGACGCGGATGTGCTTTCAACCCCCTACCCTATAAGGTGGGTCTTGTTCCATCAGCTTGTTACATACTCAAATGACTCCTGCCTTAGCTATGAAGATCTTTAACAGCGTTTTGGTGCATAGCACCTTATGCTACATAGTTTAACAATCAATGTTTTTGCTCCGAGCTTGAACTGAAAATCTGGAAACTAGTGTTTTACTTTATTCCTCCCAACCTATTTCACGGTCATCTGACATATACGCTCATATCTTTGACAGATGGGTTTCAAAAATCGATCAGGCAAAGGGAATCTGATAAGACTAAGAAAAACATAAAAAGGAAATAACACCAAAACACTGCTTCGATGAATGACCTTGAAATGGTTGTGGTGGAAATGAATTAAATTCAAGTTTGGCAGCTGCGTTTGTCGCCCGCGAAAAACGTCGATTGAACAAGTATTCTGTATGTTAAGTCAAACGACTGTTTATCGCATGAATTGGTAGCAATACCATCAACGAAAACTTCAAATTTGTGGGTAATGTGTCTTGGCATCAGTATATTTTCGGTGCATGGCAATCTCTCGCTATGCTGCGCATAAATTGTCGCGAAACACTTAATCACGGGCTATATGTGCAAACGTATCTAAATATATGTCGCGGATTTTTCGCTAGTTCCCGGATTTCTGAGAACGACGTGTGTCCACATACAGCGCGTGACCGATCTGATGAAATGGCCGAAATTCTGAAATGCGTTCTAGATTAGGAAGGATTACTTGGGTGAAGTTGTAATGTTACTTATCAAGCGACAAAATCCTATAATATTTAGGACTCGCCAGGATGTCGGCTTTTGAATGCACTTCTTGTCGACATCCTATAGAGGCCGCACTCGGTAAAAAATGACACAAAAGTAGGAGGTATTTTTAACATTGATTTTCAATAGTCCTGTAAATTCAAATATTTTGATGGAAAACACACACAAACATATGCTTTCTCCTACTTGTTTGGCAGAAAATAACACTGTGTTTATATTTTATACCCGGAGGAAGCGTATATTTAGGTTTTAAATATAACAAATATTTGAATTTGCAAGGCCATCGAAAATCAATGCGAAAAATACATGCTACTTATGCAGTCATTTTTCACCGGGTTAACTTCTATATGAGATTGAAAAGAACTGCATCCAAAAACCGACATCCTGGCGAGCCCGAAATACTATGGGATTTTGTTACTTAAGCAGCATTACAACCCCACTTAAGTAATCTTCCCTAATCGAAAACACATTTTAGAATTTCGGCCAAGACTTCATCAGATCGGCCACGCACTGTACATATATTGAACAAATTTAAATGGTTTATGCTGCATATTTGTGCAATAAATATTTATAGAAAGGTAGGAGGTTGATAATGACTTAGAATACGTAAATTAGCTATGAAATGTATAGTTCTTAATCCGCCAACGTTTTAGTGGGCTTCTGGAACGCGACCACCCACGATCGAGGGACATCAATGTGCCTTGACTCTGACCAAATTTCATTCGGGACAAAACTGAGACCAAAGGAACATACTTTCGGTAAAACTTACCTAGGGGACACTTTACGACCAGAACGCAAAATCCACGTATGTTCTTACACCCTTTAAGCACTTGCCACTGTCCACGGCAACTTTTAACCATGCCTAACTTTACTTGGAGCTGGTTATGGGGCTCTTTTCTGTTTGCCAAACGGCACAGAAAATGTACATCAAAGACAGCATTGGCGGCATGGGAATAGCGATACCAATATTTAAATAATTAGCGGTTGTAAAGTTTAAACAAAGCTTGTCCGGCAACGGTAGACTCAAGAATCCCACATAACTGTTGGTAGACTGTGGATCGTGTCATACGCAAATAGTGGTAATGGGGGGTTTTACTGGTGTGGCGGCACGCCAGACAATAAGCTGACGAAATGCAAAAAAACACGGAAATTGTTTGGATTTCTGCCGTGCGCTTTCGTGTGGCAACGGAAGTGAGCGCGTGAATCAAAAAACAAACAAGATCTAATGCAAAAAAGTGGGGTATGGGTAGTGGTTTGAAGTCATGAGAAGTGATTGTTGTTGGCAGTTTAATGTCAAATGGATGTCAAGATAAAATCCATTTGACACGATTCACAGTTCCCCGACAATTAAGTGGGGTCCCTCACACTACCGTTGCATCTTAGCCTTATCCGCAATGCACTCTCCCATTGTTCTTACTCCACACGTTCGGACGTGGGAAGGTGGTTTTAGACAAGTTGACATTGTCAGACTGAACCTTTTGTTGTTTCAAAGAAAACGTACTAGGTAGTAACTATGTGATTTTCCTTACACCGAACGCATGCATCTTGTACACTGAAATCACTAAGCGCTGATGCAACGACGGATCAGGCTCCAAAGTATTCGGAAATTAGAAAACTTGTTTAGAACCTAATTATATTCCTTCTTCGAGTATAAAATATAAAGATGACGTGATTCCCTATCAAACGACTGAAGGAGAGTATATTTTTGTTCGGGGTTTCTATAAAATAGATTAAGATTTTATGACCATCGAAAATCAATGGGAAAAATGTACTCTATATAAGCAGTCACTCTTTACCGAGTACGGCTTCTACAGGAGGTGAAAAAGAAGGGCATTCAAAAGTAGACATCCTGCTGAGTCTAATTTGTTATGAGATTATGCCGCAAGATAATCAGTATTGCAAATCTACCTAAGTAATCCTTCCTGATCGAAAAGGCATTTCAGAATTTCGGTCAACATTTTATGAGATCGGTCACGCACTGTAAATCAGACAATGAGGGATGCACACTTAACATGTGGCCATGCGACGCACCCTTGCGTTATAGCCGATGACGATGTTCACCGTGTGTGACACGAAGTGGACGCACCATCAGTGGGAATCAGTGCGTACAGTGAGTGACCGATGTCATGAAATGTTGGCTAAAATTCTGAAACGTGTTTTAATTAGGAAGGATTACTTAGGCGCGACTGCAAAACCGATTATCGTGCGGCCTAACCCTATAATACTTCGGACTCGGAAGGATGCCAGCTTTTGAATGGTCTGCTTATCAATCTTCTGTAGGAAACATACTTGGGAAAAATCGACTACTTATTTGACATACATTTTTCACATTGATTTTCAATAGTCTTGCAAATTTAAATATATCGCGAACAGCAATATGCTTTCTTTCAGTCGTTTGATAGAGAAACGCGTCGTCTTTATATTTTATACTCGAAGAAGTATAATCAGGTCTTTAAAAAGTTTCTAAATATGCATTTTTAGGTCGTGCAATGTCCACTCATGCAGCGTCGTACCTGAACGTTTACCATTGCTCCTCTCGAAATGTACAACATATTCCTTAATCATTGCAAAATCTTATGGACTTTATATGATATTTCATTAAAGGCATAGACGTATATATGATTTTCTTTGCGCAAAACGCATGCACCCTGTAGACTGAAATCACTGAGCGGTAATGCAATGATTGATCAGGCTCCAAATTATTCGGGAATTAGAAAACCCTTCTAAAACCTAATTATACCCCTTCTTTGAGTATCAAAGGTAAAGATGACATGATTCTCTACCAAACGACTGAAAGAAAGCATATTTTTGTTCATAGTTTCTATAAAATATTTTTTAATACGCAAGCCCCTCGAAAATCAATGGGAAAAGTGCACGCTACTTCAGTAGTCGTTCCTATAAGATTTTCAAAAACAGTGTATTCAAAAGCTGATATTCTGCCGAGTCCGAAGTATTATAGGGTTATGCCGCAAGATAATCGGTTTTGCAGCCGCGCCTAAGCAATCCTCCTTAATCGAAAACACATTTCAGAATTTCAGCCAACATTTCATGAGATCGGTCACTCACTGTAGTTGTGCGGACTTCCGTCGCACCTACCGCACACTCTCCACCCATTCGCAATGCCAATACGATTGGAGATGGGCGCGTGCGCAGTTGCTGAAAAAGTTAAACAGTCGGTCTACGCGTACTACACACAACCTGGCCTCCACCTTCGTGGACTCGGCTCGAATCTACAGTGAGTGACCAATCTCGTGAAATGTTGGCCGAAATCGTGGAAAGCGTTTTCGATTAGGAAGGATTACTTAGGTGGGGTTGTAATATTGATTACCATACAGCATAATCTCATATTACTTCGGCTTTTGAATGCACCTCTTTTCCATCGCGTGCAGAAACCGAGGTCTGTAAGAAATGACTACTTAAGTCGAATGAATTTTTCGTATTGATTTCCGATGGTCTTATAAATTGAAATATGTTTTATAGAAAACGTGCACAAAATATGCCTTCTTTTACTCGTTCGGTAGAAAATCACATTGCCTTTATACTTTTAACAGAAAAAAGTGTATATTTAGGTCTTCAAAAAGTTTCTAATTATGGGATTTTTAAGCCCGCGCGATGTCCTTGCGTGCAGGACCGCACATGCCTGTTTACCGGTGCACCGGTTTACAACACATTCCGGACGCATTGTAAAGTCTTATGAACTCTATATGATATCTTTTTTAATGCATATAGGAATATATGACTTCCCTTACGCGGAAAACATGCACCTTGTAAACTGATGTCCCTAAACGCTAATGCAATGGCAGATCTGGCTCAAAATTATTCGGGATTTGGAAAACTTTTTGACGGCCTAAATATACAATTTCTCCTGTTACAAAATATAAAGACAATGTGATTTTCTACCGAACGAGTAAAAGAAGGCCTAGTTTTGTGCACGTTTTCTATAAAATATATTTGAATTTATAAGACCATCGAAAATCAATACAAAAAATGCATACGACCTAAGTAGTCATTTATTACAGAGCTCAGTTTCTGCATGCGGTCAAAAAGGGGTGCACCCAAAGCCGACATCCTGGTGAATCCAGAATGCGATAGGATTACGCTGCACGCTAATCAATATTACAACCCCACCTAAGTAATCCTTTCCAATAGAAAACACATTTTACAATTTCGGCCAACATTTCATGAGATCGGTCACGCACTGTAATATGCGCGGGTGTCACCAAGGCCACACTGAGAAGGAGTCATTGGGGCCGGACTCTCAGTCATGAGAGAGATCGGGCTTTTCGTCATTCGCAAGACATTATAACAGATTCAAGGCCCTCAGGTTTGTTGCAGTGAGGAATGCACTGATGCCTTCCACAGTGCTGACCTCACTTCCTCGTGCTTCTTCCATTCACACATCAACGGCCTGAGCTTGTCAACTAGGTGGTGATGGAATCGGACGCAGTGCCGCCACTACTACGTATGGCGGTAGTTATAGGCTCGCGTGGACTCAGCACAGCCTAGTAATTGCGTGCCGTCACCCAGTCTAGCCCAAGCATCTGCAGCGGAACCCGTTCTGGGGAACCAGGATCATACCCAAATTGGACAAAATGTTTGTACTTAGCAACAATGGAGACTCTTATACGGTTGGGAAAGGTTGTTTCCTCGTTTACCTTGTCTGATATAAGTCTAAGCGAAGAAGAAGGGTCGAGCACCGGAACACTTCATTTATTGTCCTGAGCTTTCAGACTCGTGCAGGAGTCCATAGTCAAAGGTAGTAGCGGCAACCGAACAAGCGACAGTTATAGGCCATGTAGGTCAATCATCGACCGACGGCGCAAGACTGGAGGTGACTTCGCAGGGCTCTGTACGCCGGTGCCGGATCGATAAACCGATTGACCGAATTCTCATCCGAGGCTCAGGCTTTAATAAATTCTCGGCCTGTTTTGTTTCCGGCGTGGACGGCGTGGCGGCTGTGAAGTTAAATTCGTGACCCATTTCGTGGGGGTGGGCGGCCACTTGTGATAATGCGTCGCCTCGTCGCACAGCCAGCTTATGTTCGTGTATGCGTGATCCGAGCATGCGCCCAGTCTGCCCTGTGTCGTTACAAAGACAATTTTGACACGGAATACGATATACCACGCCAGATTGCTCTCCAGGATTAAACCGGTCTTTAATTTTCATGACCCTATTGCGCATGGTGGCTTTAAGGCGGTGTGCAATTCCAACACTTAGCTCCGCGGCAATGCGCTCGGTCGCTTCTGAAACGTCCTTGATGTATGGCAGAGAATGTCATATCGGCGGTGGTGTCGGTTTTCAAGTACTCTGGTGGCGACCGCGTAGGCAGCAATTTATGAATGCCCTCGGACAGCCATTTTGCACAAACTGAAGACGCTCTTCAAACGGATCCAAACTCATTACAGCAAGTCGGAGGACAGAACACGTGAAGCTCACTATCTCCGCGACCTGTTTATGCAGGATAGCTATCCAAAGGCATTTATAAGCCGTTGCCTACCTGTTAGTTCCCTAGAGGAGCCAAACGGCAGCCTCATCAAGGGTATGACATTCTCTGCCATATATTAAGGACGTTTCAGAAGCGGCCGATCGCATTGCTGCGGAACTAGGTGTTGGAATTGCACACTAGCCCAAAGCCACCGTGAGCAGCAAGGCCATGAAAATTAAGGACCGATTCAATTCCAAGGAACAATCTGGAGCAGTGTATTGCATTCCGGGCCAAAACTGTCCTTGTAACTACACAAGTCAGACTCGCACGTATGACAGTAGTTATAGGCTCGCGTGGACTAAGCACAACCCAGTTAATGCCTGCCGTGATCCGGTCTAGCTTAAGCATCTGCAGCGGAACCCGTTGTGGGAACCAGGATCATACCCGAAGTGGGCAAAATGTCTGTATTGGTGGGATAAAGCCCAATTAACGCCAGTGGAGACTCTTATACGGTTGGGAAAGGTTGTTTACTTGTTTACCTTGTCTGTTATTAGTCTCTCTTTCAGCATGTCCCAACCATTCTGAAGTTTTATTGTGGAAGGGTGGAAAGAGCGTCAAGCTGACAGCACATGGTCTGCCTTCGGTAATAACTGATTCACAGGAGTAATCGAATATGAGAGGCCAAGACGAAGCAGCATGCATGATAGAGGGTAATATGGTGAACCATTGGCGCTAATGGCCAGATCCTGTCAAAATGGTAACACCGTCAACTGACGCTTAGGGCCCAAACTGTTATCAATTCTAAGTCATTATTACTGGTCCACATTCACCAGTATGATCCCCTCTGGAGTCCCCCCAATAAGGCTAAACCCCTGTAGTCCAAAACGACGAGAAACACGCCTCGGGCTTTTCAAATGCGATCATGGAAAGGTCACCTGTATTTGATGCACCCTTCACCTTTTCAGCCGATAAAGTTAAAATCCGGTCCCACCTTCCCCCACGCAGACACAATCGTGGTCAGGGCAACTGGAACCACGCCAGATCATAGGCAACAACTATCAGCAACGCGGCATGGTAGAGACATATCCAATTTGTAAACACTCATCCAAATCCCATATCTATCCGATCGACCACCTGTTAGCTTATCCTGCCGTCTCTTGAGAACTCGTTCCAGGAGGCCTAACCGACAGACGTCACGTCCGGCTTATCTGCCCACGTTTCCAACGTACGCGTAAGTCACAGTATTCATATGCGCATTTATGACAGTGACCGCTGAAGCGGCACTGCCCAGATTTCCCGTGCGTCAGTGCACACACACACACATTCGCACAATACATGAGCCTACTTGACCATATACGTACAAATAGTGACCAAAAAAGAAAAGAAGAGTATAATTCGGTTTTAAAAAACTTTTCTAATTGTGAGATTTTTTAATACCTTTAAATGGCCGTTCATGAAACGTCATGTATCTGCATTTACGAATGTGGCTTGTAAAGTTAACAATATTGCTCAAATCCATTGCTTAATTTTATGAACCTCATATGGTCTCATCTTAACACCGTAGAAAAATGCATGGTTTTCCGTACACGGAAAATACACACCTTGCAGTTTTGAAACCCTGAATGCAAGTGTAACAGCGGGTCGGGTTCAAAATTATTCGGGAATTAGAAACGTTTTTTAAAACCGAAGTATACTCTTCTTTTGAGTATGAAATTGGAAGAAGACGTGATTTTCTACCGAATAAGTGAAAGAATGAATATTTTTATGCCTGTTTTCCATGAAATATAATTGAATTTTCAAGGGCATCGAAAATCAATGAGAAAATTGCATGCTAAATAAGTAGTCATTTTTTGCAGAGTATAGATCTTGCATGCAGCCGAAAATAAGTTCTTTCGAAAGCCGACACCCTGAGGTAACTGAATCATTATAGATTTATGCTGCATCATAATTAGTTTTACAGCACTACTTAATTTATCTTTTTCGAAACGAGAACGCATTTCGAAATTTTGGTTGACATTTCATGAGTTAGCACATCTACTGTATGCCACTGCGTCCGTGTCAATCGGTAATTCCTCAGAACTATAATCGGAATGAAGTGGGTATAGGAATAATGAGTTTGGCACATACTGTGTAAGTGAGGAACAATTGACCATTCTTGAGAGTGGTGGACGTGATGCGCCAGTTAGCCGTTGTTACATTTGGATTGCGTGGCCTTTATGGTCACCAACGGCTGGTAGGCTGAGACGCCAAAGTTCCTATTCAAAGTCCTGCCATTAGGACGTGAGAGATATGTAAGGGGGAAGATTATGACAAATGTGGTGCAGAACGGTCCAATTCACATGGATTTCGGCACTCGTGCAAGATTGTGATGGTCGTCGTCGTCGTCGTCGTCATTATTATTATTATTATTATTATTATTATTATTATCATTACCACGACATTGGCATGTTAAGGCTTATGGTGGAAAACTTACACTTAAAAGAGTTTGTCGAATGTTTAAATTGCAGGCATGTATCTGTCCCAGAGCGTACTCGTCTTCAGAGCCTCGTAGTGAAGCCTTTAAACTCCTGTCAATTGAGTCCTCCAGGTTACATCTTCGAGCACATGCCAGACTCATAAGAGTCCGACTGCAGGAGGTGTTTACGATAGCCAATACGGGATGACCCAGGATGGTACACCGCAAATAGAGCCGATCGGCAGGTTTGAGGGGCACGTAGAGCTTGGGACTGCTGCTGGCACTTCGTTGGCCGATAGAACTGCGTTTTAGAGGAGCACAAAACGAGGGGAGGAGTAAGTAGGGAAAAAACGTTGGACGCAAGATGCGCACTTGTTGAGAAATCAATAACCCTACATATGGGGTACTGAGAGCGTCAAATTTTGCAATAAAGTGCACGAAAAATTGCAAAATCTCGAGAACAGCCTAAATAGGACATATTTTTAAGCATGTAAACCCGATGACAATGTGGACAGAGGCAAGAAATTTGCCAGTATAAACGCTCAGTTTACGTTGTTTTTGATTTTCATTATGCAAATGTAGGTAGGATCCAAGGAATTGAAAAGGCTGCAACGTAATTTCTCTTTTGCTAAACCAGAGGGATATGACTGAACGTTTTTGAGTATAAGAGCAAAGTAGATTGAAAACACCGAACTACCTCCGCAATTTTTAATCAAAATGCTTCCTAGCAACCTTTCAGGAGTTAGAAAACGTTCTGCTCTCTGATGCAGTGAAGACAGGCTATTTCTGCATATTTTATATTTCACCAGACTTCAGACTCCAACTGCCTAACTGTTTTTAATTAGACGTTTAGAAATAAAGTGTCGGAAAACGTTTCTGTAAGTCATCATGCAAAATCGTAAGGCATCTCGCCTGTTAACGAGGCTCCAAATGATACTTCACAGAAGTTTACTAGATTAGTCGCAACATTCCCACTTATGATTTCTAGGCCGCTATTTCATGCCAATTTGCATTTTCGAAATTCTTCTTAGGCGAACTTGATAATTTGAGCGGGGCGGCTAGTCAGCACTTCGCCAAAAAATATTGTCTCTTTGCATGATTGACATCCAAACGAAAGAAACTGACGGAAAACCATTTGCTAAGAAAGTACCTTTCTACGAAATCTTCGCAAAACGGAGCTAATTCTATTTTATGATTTTTTTCGTGGGCAAGATTCGGTTTAGTTCACAGGCCAGGCTTCGGAGGTTGAAGATTTATGTGGAAAGTAACTTTTATATACCGCGTCAGATATGAGGACGTTTCATTGGAAAAGCCTAGATTTAATAGACCACTTTTAGTAAGCAACCTCTGTAAAACTGTCTTGATAACTTATCGCTAACTGTCACGGTACGTGAGCAACTACGACTTGATAAATACGAGATTAAAAACCTTTGAAAATAAAACACTATGAATCAAACAAAACAAACACCAAATTTGGCCATCTTTATAAATGGATGTTCTGATTTTACACGAAACTGATCTGCGTTTTGCCATGATAAATAGCTATGAACTCGAACATTTAATTGCATCAAACAACTTAAAAAATGTTTGAAATCTAAAAGAGGGGTTATGCTATCGGTTTGATAATGCTACAGGCGGTTTTAGACACATTAAAATGAAAGTTAATTATGGAACAACGCATCTAGCTCTTCAATATAGACGTCTCTAGGACTGCCTATAAAGAGGAAGCCTAAAGTTTATCAAGTTGACTTTTAGTGATATTTAATAAACTAGATACCTGAAGCAAATTTAGGCGTCAGATATAGCTCACGGTATACTTAAAATGCGTTTATTTTATCTTCAACATAAAGCAAACATGAAATTGGATGTGTGCAAAAGCTTTGCTATGTATATCCACGAATAGCCGCCACAAATAGTGCTGGCTTATAATTCGCTTAGCAAGCCGCTGTTTATTAAATCAAATTAAAGACAATATTAGTCAATGTGTAAATTTGGAACCTGAAATGCTTGATGTGAATCACATCTAGGGAACTAATCTAGGTGAGTCCCGATCATTATGCCGAAAAATTGAAAATACTTTACTATTGCGGCAAATTCAATTAGTTTAGGCGACTGAGAATACAGTAAATTTAGGTATCATTGGTATCATATACATTTACATAATAGGTTAAATGGACGAGTGGCCTTTAAAGAAAACCTCGACCGGTTGTGGAATAATGTATATCACAGATATCCCCTTAGCCTTCAGAAATGTAAATACAATACGCAAAGCAGCGGAAAAATGTCTTTTAGAATGCAGTAATTTTGATCTAAATGGTAACATTAACGATAGGAAAAAGGTTGTCATCTTTGAAAGTTGCTTGCTTCACCCAGAACAACGTTATCATTTCGGTACTGTAGATCTAGGTAGAATATCAAGGAAGAAATTGTCTAAAAGCTATTCTCGTTGTAACAAACGTCAACAGCTATATTTTCCAAGTCAAAATGGCCCAAAACACTGCAGAGTCCATTGCAGAGGTATAGTAATTAACCTGCAGACAACAGAAAAATAATTCGAAAAGGTCCAAAATCTAGCGGCAAGCGTCTGAAATATATGTTTTCTTATTTTCAGGTAATGATTTTACAACTCAAGACCATTTATTGAATTTAGTATACCGAAAAACAAACGAACTACAATTTTTTCAATTTTCATGTAACCATAAGTAATCCTAAAAGACTGCGTCTCAAAATCCAACACGTTGGTCAAAGACATCAATAAGTTAAATACAATCAAACGTTTGTGTCTTTTGTAGTCTAGGGGACGTCTGGCTGAAATTATTACTTAAAATACACTCCCAACCGTCGAAAACCCTAATATGTAATTAATTAAAGCGGTTGATTGACCAGGAAGGTCATGCTCTTTCTATCGAAAACAACAAGACTGTCCGAAATCTTACAAGAACCCATTGGCAGATTACAGAACTAGTAAAATCCTTGCATTCAATAAATCCTGAATTATCATTTAGAAAACGCTAATAAGTGCTTACTTCCTCACAAGGGGATTCAGTAGCTGCCTTGGCACGTATGTTGGCTCGTGGACAAGCTCTGCGTAGTGCACTGAGTCCTCATTTTGAGGCCATGGTTTGTCTGATATGAACGGTAGATGATAGTAAAAAGTGAGCCATTTTCGTGAAAGTATCCAGTAAATAACAGAAATAATACTATACGGGAACTACTATAATGTCTGCAGTTACATCGTTAAAATCACTTTTTTAAATACTTTTCCAAACGCAATATCTCATAAAGAAAAATATCTGTTGCCCATCTTTATCAATAACTACATGCCGTAATACGTGATTCGAGTAAAATACATTAGGTAGGCTAATCCATGAAATGTCAACCGAAATTCCAAAATGCGTGTTCGTTTCGAAAAGATTAATTAGGTAGGGTTGTAAAACTAGTCAGCCTGCAACATAATTCTATAATATTTCAATTACTTTAGGATGCCGGCTCTTGAATGAACCTCCTCCGGGCTGCATGAAAAAACTACACTTTGTAAAAATGACTACTTACGTGGCATGGATTTTTCTCAATGATTTCCAATGCCTCTAAAAGTGCAATTATATTTCATAGTAAACATGCATTAATATATCTATTATTTTGCTCATATGGTAGATAAGTACACCTTCTTCTAATTGTATGCTCAAAGAAGGGACATCATTGATGTTTAAAAAGGTTTTCCATTTCCCGAGTAATTTTGAACCCGCTCTACCGTCACACTTTGATTCAGGGTTTCCAAAGTACAAGCCGTATATTTTCCGCGCAAGAAAAACCCCGTACTTGCCTACCGTACTCAAGGGAGATCATATAGGGTTCATAAAATTTAGCAGTGGATCTGATCCATATTGTTAACTTTACAAGTCATTTTGGTAAATGCGGAGATGTGACGATTCATGAACGACCATTTCACGGTATTTAAAAGTCTCGCAATTGGAAACTTTTGAAAATCCGAATTATGGCTCTTTTTCGAGCATACCATTAGAAGAGGATGCAATTGTCTACGAAATGAGCGAAAGAATAAATATATTCACGCATGTTTACTACTAAATATAGTTGTACTGTTAGGGACATCGAAAATCACTAAGAAAAATTCATGCTCCGTAAGTGGTCATTTTTACAGAGTGTAGTTTTTACATGCAACCGGGAGGAAGTTCATTCAAGAGCCGGCATTTTAAGGTAATTGAAATATTATATAATTATGTTGCAGGCTGACTAGTTTTACAACCCTACTTAATTAATCTTTTCGAAACGAAAACGCATTTTGGAATCTTAGCTGACATTTCATTATTTAGCCCGCCTTCTGTATAGTGCACATTTCTTTTGCACCAAATTGTGTTACTTTCGTACATTTGATGGTACAGTAAGTCAGTTTATTTGTATGGTGTATTCATAAAAGCATAATAAACAAAATACAATCATTTGCATTTTCTTCTGTATGGTCGATATATATAAAAGAATCTAAACTTTTTGGCACATGAACTAGTCCTTTGTGCAGATCTGCGCGGGATTTCTTAAGGACAAGAGCAATAAGCATAAACTGTTCTCTGGCAAGACACATGCAAGCACAATTTACCGGACGGTTTGGTATTTTTTAAAGAGTCCACCTGCACAGTCTGAGATTGATCTTCGGCCGATGACTCCGTATTTCCTTTGATTGATTTTCTTTTTTTATCCATTTCCTGGCGTCTAAGTTTACTGGAGTGCCTAGAATGTTCTGGAAATTTTTTCATTCCATTCTTAACAAAATGATAATATTATCTTTCCTACCCTATGCTCATGACTGTTTATTCCATTTCGTGGAAGAACAGCAATTAAATCCCCGTCTTTTAGTCCCAAAGCCGCACACGTTACCTCGGAGTCAATGCTCAGTCGCTTTCCATCTTTAAAATAAATTGTTTCCGGCTTTTTAGACATAGATACTCCTGGGAGAGCTTGAATCACATCCGAAAACTTTGTGTTCCCAGCGGCGTCACAAGTTGCCACTCGTTCATCTGGCAGAAAAAACGACAATATCATTCCGTGTATTTTAAAAGTTGGAACTGGATTAAATTATAACATTTTTTATCTGCTTTTGCAGATAAACAAAAATGACTTGGTTCCACCAAGATAACGTTTTAAATACTGACCTTAGAAGCAGTCGTCGACATGCGACACCGGAAACCTCTGCGAGAATAACAGGTTCGATTTAGCTCACGCTTTGCTTAAGAGAAATTGAGAAGGAGGATTATTATTGAGTGACTAGAAAAAACTTACTTAACATAACATCACCGTTTGTCGAGGTTTGTAATGTAAAAATCTTTATTTTTGGTTCATATTGCACTACCAGATTCCGCATTGGTTTTCTAACATAATTAAACGCTTGTGGCGTTTGCAAACATCAGACAATCACTGAGACCGCCCGGAAATTGAGATTTTGGCTTTTACTCTCAGCAGTCAACACTAATTCGTTATCTTCTCAAGATTAAAAGGTAATACGTGTGAAGACTTAAACAGAACGGCTTCTTCAGTATTTCAGTGAAAGTACCCATGTCCCTATCATATCGTCAGTAAAGTATGCATTTAACATTGTTGCTCTGAAACACTTGCACACTTATGTGACGAAGATAGGTCATTCAGTATATGTCAGTATATTTTAAGCGAATTATACAATACTTTGAAAGCTGTTATGAAAACGGTACATACAATATCTTACATCATTTATTTGTATTGCCAAAGTTATGTCAGTAACATACACATGTTACGGCATATCGTCTTTAAGACTGCGCGACCGAAACTCGAGAACACTCAGCTGTAAATGGTAATGTATACCTGAAATGACAACCATCCGCATTAGCGGTGGGTTTATGCAAGGCGTTGACTTAGCGTAACAGAGCAGTTCCGTCCACCTAAGCTGCATTTTTCAAGCAAATATACATCTAGTCTTTGTTTAAAAATGTCCATTGAATCCGCCATTATTCCGTGCTTTGGAAGCCCGTTCCAGACACCAGTGAATCGCTGGGAAATGTGGGGAGCTGCGAACGTCCTTGCAACATCGGGATCCTCGAAGTTTAGAAGAGTTCCCACACAGATTTGTTGTTGTGGCCAAGGTGAGGAAATCATCGAGGTGAAGGGCACAGTCCCGCCTCCGCCATATCTGATACGTCCGTACGAGTTCTCCTCGGATTTGCCTGTACTCAAGAGGGAATAGGTTGAGCTTGCCAACTCTGCAGCTGTAAGATAAAGTCTTGAGGTCTCGTACAATTTTTGTCCCTCTCCTATGAACTCTTTCCAGCAACTTATGGTCTTTTTGCAGCCACTGGTGGCATGCTTGAATTCCGAATTCCAAATGCGAACAAATAAACGCTCCGTTTACTTTTCCAAGTAACTCTTTGTCTATATCTTTGAAAGCTCGTTTAATGAATAGGAGAACATCGGTAAAAACTTTATGCCAGTTTACTACTGATAATTTACTTCTAACGACAGCCAAATTTCCTCGCTATAAATTCGGCCGTATCCATTTCTTGGGTGTATGGTCGGTATCCCCAAAAGAGCATGACATGGTCACTCTTACAGGCCTAAGTTCGCCGGCAATACTTGGGTGTTTTTTAAGGACGAGGTCCCGAACATTTTCTCTTTGGACCTCTCTGATTCTGGTTGGAAAGTTGACATTCTGTACCAGAAAGAAATTAGCCGTTAGTTTAAACGGCCTGGAATAAAAGGAATTTCGCGAACCATTTACTACTTAATTGTTCCAGTCGACCATCGATGCGTTGAAGTCTCCGGTTATCAGTGTCCCTTGGCTTTGCGTCACCTCTTTTATTAACCCAAATATCGCCTCGTCAGCCTCGGGAATCTGATTGGGCGGCCTTTTTACGTTCAGGAAATTCAGATAAGATGCATCTTACATCCTTAGTTTTAACCACGGTGCTTCACAGTCACGGGAGAAATCAGTTTTGTGCTCTGGTGCAATGATTTCTTTTTGGACGTAGATCTCTTGCGTCCTCCATTTTTATGCAGCCTGTAACGGAAGAAGTTGGTCTTCATGGAGTGCAATTTCGGCATCCAAGACTGCAGCCTTTAAACAAGTCTCCATGATGGAAATAACATCCGGCTGCATATCTCATAACCACACTTTCAGCCCATTTAGCTTCTGGGAAAAATTCTGAACATTTTTATAAAGAAAACGGAATTTAGCCCAGGCAGATTTCCAAACGATTTTTGGGTCGAATTTGGCGGTTGTCATGGTATAGCGGCCGCAGGATCGCTCGTCTCTCGCGGTTTTTTGGTCAACTGGTGCCTCTTTTGGTAGTGAGGCATTTGCTTTTATTGTGTGTGGACTCATCTCTCCTATGCTGACAGCCTGGCCTACTTGGTCTTTTCGAGATGCTTCGAGACGTTTCATCGTTTTTTAAGATCAATCGTTCAGTCGTCCTTCTCTCGCATATGAGACCCTTTCTCGGTCTGGTTAGGTCCGTAGATGGGCTGTCTTCTTTCTCAGAGGTTAATACAGTTATTGAAGTTGGATCGGCATTTTTCTAGCTGTTTTCTGAACTTCCGACATTGCCAACTCTTTCCTTTCGGGTGAATGATGAGGAAGTTTCATCAAATTTTCCATCTCAATTCTGAAACATCTTATCTAGTTCTCCATCTCCAAGAATTTCCGAGGGAGTTCAAAACATGCCGCGTAGGGTTTGTCTTCGTATATGACATCCAATCAACTTATCGGAAACTTTGCGCGTTTGGAGGGCGGTAATTTGACAGCAGGAAACTTGACGCAGTAGTCAATTATGCAACGCCTAACGCCTGGGTTAATTTTTTTATCAAACAGTCTGCTGCGCGTCAGTGGTCCAGTGGTAGCGACATTTTTAGGGTCACTCTTGTGTCTAGGATCGAGCCAAGCTCGCGGCGGACTATTTGCATATGTCTAGATCCTTCCTTGATCAAGGTCAAGCCGCTGGTTTTAAATTTGAAGATAAGTGGAGGATATTATTTTTAGTGGTTTTTCTGTGAGATCTAACGGTTTTAATACCTGTTTTTTTGGTTGAATTTCCTTAAATACAGGCCTTTTCTCTAAGAACTGCCCGCTGCCATCTCCTTTCGAGTTTTGCTAGTCTACGCCCGCTGTTCACTAATTGCACTTTGCAATTCTCATTTTGTGCATCCGATT